AAAATAAATGCCACAAAAATAAAAGTTAAATCATTTTAGCTGGCACTTTTTTCACGAAATGCCACTACTTATTAATTATTTTTTATTTATAATTTTAGTAAAATAATAAGAGGTAGCCTTTTTTTATGAAATGCCTTAGGTTGTTGCTATTAAAAAATTAAGTTGCATTGCAATAAGAAACGCCACCGAATAATTATGAAAATATTATAAAAATATTTTTTATTATAGTCATTATAATTATCGTTATACTTGTTATTTTAATTATTAATTTTATTATTGTTCTTATTTTTATTATTGATATAACTATTTTTATTGATGAATGATAATAAATTTTTAATTATATTTAATTAATAATTATTACAAATATAAATATAATAAAATTATAAATATAATGAACATTATTAAACTATTTTTGTTATATTTATTATTATTATTATTTGATTGTCAATTAAAATTATATTTAATATTGTTTGGTTGTTAATTATTGTTTAAAGTTATATGTTTTCCCAATAATTATTTTATGTTGAATACATTATTTTGAATATTCCTTATTTAAATAATCTTAGGTGGCAAGTAATGATTATTAATTTATTTTTAATTATTTTATTTCAATTTATATATTTGTCAGTAATTTTTTTTAGTATAAGGCCATTAAAAAATCGTGTAGAAAGAACAGGAATTAGGTCATGTCAAATTGCATGAGGGATTGATAGCTAGATGGCATATCATTAAAAATAGTAATATCAAAGTTTTCTTGTGAGGCTTGATGAGCAAGCATGTCAGTGTATCTATTCACTTCCCTGAACATGTGATCAAAAGTAACAATCCTGTCTTCCATGACAAAATGTCTGACTCTTATTGTAGTTTCAAAAAGGGGGATGATTATTACGGATATTATGTTGAATAAAAAAGAGAGCTTCCATGGTATTGAAATGGATGTTGATTTTAGTAAATCCCTCATTCCAGCAAAGTTGAAGCCCTTCTAATATGCCCAAGAGTTCAGCCATTGTGCTTGGTTGGTATCCAAAATATTTGGAAAATTCCTTAATCCAATTGCCTTTGTCATCCCTTATGATGCCACTATAGGTTACAGCTCCATTAGATCTAGTAGACCTGTCAATGTCAAGACGGATCCAACCTACTTTTAGAGGATTCCAATGAGCCTCAGATCTTTTACTAGCACAACTAAGGATATTATCCCTATATTGGAGTCTTGTGTCATTGATAACTTGCTAGGTGCTGGAAAACGTGATGTCTAGTTTTGGTTGATTTCTTTAGAATACATCTTCTTGCATCATGCCTTCCAAATGTTCTAGCAAACTTGAGCGAAAAGCCTCTACCAAGGAATTCTTCTTGTGTTGAAGTTGTTTCCTTCAATTTTTGCATTCCAATTGATCCATTCTTGCATAGAAAGAGAAAAGAAAGCATTAAATTTGGATGGTTTAACAAGTTTAAACCAAACATTATGAACTTCTTTACAGTGGCGCAGAATATGAATTGAGGGGTCAGGTGAATTGCATCCAAATGAACAAGTGCGTAAAAGATGGGTACATCTTTTGGAATTTATAAAATTGATTTAGAGTCTGTCCCATGCAGCTTTTTAAAGAAAGTATTTTGTTTTTTCATAAGTAGGCCACTTGCAAATCCTCAACCAAATATCAGTATTGGCTTGGTCCTTTTAAGTAATCAAGGTCTTATAAGCAGATTTAATAGAGAAATTTCCATCAGAGGATGGTCTCCAAACAAAAACATCTTCATCACTAAAAGGGTTAGGTGGCTACACAAGCGCAATATGCCTTATCACTTTAGGATGAAGGTGGCGATTTAAGAGGTTAAAATTCCATCCACCTAAGAGATTTCAAAAATTATTTGAATATCATATTAAACTTAAAATAATTGAGCATGAAGGACTTCTGGCCTATATCCCTTTGCAATGTTAGTTATAAAATCATTACCAAAATCCTCTTCAATCGCTTTTGGCAATGTATGAACTATCTTGTTACGGATTCTTAGTGCAGTTTCATCTAGGGTTGACAAAGCAGTGATAACATCATTATTGCTCAAGAAATTTTACACACCATGAGAAGTAAGACTAGACATAAAGGTTTTATGGCCCTTAAGTTGGATCTTGAGAAAGCCTTTGATAGACTCTCATGGGATTTCATTAATGATACTCTCCAATCCATCGGGTTAAACAATCATTTCTAAAAATTAATAAGAACTACCATCTCTTCAATACATATGAGAGTTCTTTGGAATGGTGAACTAATAAATGAATTCACCCCTTCCCATGGCATTAGATAGGGAGACCCTCTATCTCCTTAATTATTTATTCTTTGCATTGAACGACTCAGCCATTGTATTCTTAGCTTTATAGATAAAAATGAGTGGAAGTCAATTAGACTAACTACTAATAGGCCTCTAATTTCTTATTTATTTTTTGTTGATAATTTGTTACTTTTTACAGAAGCGTCTCTTAACCAAGCTATGGTTATGCAACAATGTCTCTCTGATTTCTATAATGCTTCAAGCCAAAAAGTCAATGTTGGGAAATCCAAGCTCTTTTATTCTAGAAATGTCAATATTAATAGAGCTTCTTAGATTAGTGATGAATTAGCACTACTACAGAATATATCTTTAGGAGCGGGTATTTAGGAGCGCTTATTTAAAAAGCGCCCCAAAATGTGAATGCGGAATTTACCGGAGCGCTTTTCTAAATAAGCGCTCTTGTATGTCAGGCTTCACAATAAGATAACGCACCTAATTAATATATATAAAATATGATAAAAAATTTAAAAATACCTTCGGGAGCGCTCGTACTTAAGCACTCCGGAAGACAGCAAGAAAACCTTCCTACGAAGCATCTTCCGGAGCGCTCTTCTTCGAGCGCTCCGGAAGAATCACTCTTCCGGAGTGCTCTACGAAGAGCGCTCCGGAACAAGCTCTTCCGGAGCGCTCCATAATGAGCGCTCCGGAAGAGTCTTCCCACTCTTATATACATCCGTCAGTTTTCTTTTCTCCATTTAGTTTCTTTTATACCTCTCTCTCTTTTGTTGCCTCTCATTCCTTCTCTGTGTCGCGCCTCTCTCTTTGTTTCTGTGCCGCATTGTCGTCGCTGTCACCGTCCTCCCCTGCATCGCCGTCGCCGCCGCCGTCGCCGTCCTCCCCTGCGTCGCTGTCGCCATCCGTCTCCGCGTCGCCGTCGCCGTCGCTGTCCGATCTCTGCGTCGCGTCGCTGTCTGGTCTCTGCATCACCGCCGTCACGCTGTCGCTGCCTGGTCTCTGCGTCGCCGTTGCTACGCCTCCATCTGTTCTGCTGTTCCAGATCTGCATCTCTGTTCCAGATCTGTATTGCTGTTGCAGATCACCATCCATCTATTCTGCTGTTTGCTGTTTGCTGTTCCAGATTTGCATCTCTGTTTCAGATCTGTATTGCTGTTGCAGATCTGTGCTGCTGCTGTACACCGGAGGAAGGGACGCCGTGAAGACCTCCGTTGCCGCTGTGCGTCGCTGCTGTACAGCAGAGGAATCGACGTCGCTTCTGCAGTGAAGACTACACTTTGAAGGTATTTTTTTTAATAATTAATTTATATATATTTGAGAATAAATTTTAAATATTTTTTAATAATAAATATTATAGAAAATATATGAATTGAAGTTATTTATATTAAAATTATGGAGTATTTGTAGTTGATAATTTAGATTAAATTTGAGGAAACTACTTGAACATTTTTATTTTATTTATGAAATATACTTTTATGAGAGATTATTGTTATTAATTAAATTACAATTGATTGACAGAATTTAGATACATTATGGTACTAAATTTTTATTTGGATGAATTGATTTATTTAGTTTAGATATATTGTGTTGTGAAATTTGATTGTTTGATCATTTGAGAGATTATTCTTTTAAGGAAGATACTGTTGAATTTTTTTTATAGAAATTTAAGTCTTTTGTTTATTGAATTTTGGTAATCATATTAGTGACATGATCGTAAGTGGATGTCGGCTAATCGACTATCTAGAGAATATTGGGATGGTGTAGATGAATTCATTGAATTTGCATTTTGTCGTGATCAAGACCCCCGTGGAGTCATATGTCCTTGTTTGAAATGTTGCTATGGAAAAAGAGTAAAGCCAATAGAATTGAAAGATCATTTAATATGTAATGGGATTGATCCAACTTATACTTGTTGGACCATGCATGGGGAGAGAAGGAATAATGCAAGTGATTGGAGGGATAGTGCGAGCTACTCAACATTTGATCGTGATAGTGGGATATATGATGTTGACCGTCTTGATGAAATGATTGATGTGATTGAAGAGGATCTTAGAGACTGTCCTGAGATGTTTGAGAGATTGAAGAGTGATGCTGATAAACCATTATACCCCGGTTGTAAAAAATTCACAAAACTATCAGTTATTTTGAAACTATACAACCTAAAAGCAGCGAATGGATGGAGCGATAAGAGTTTCACGGATTTGCTTGAACTCTTATATGAAATGTTACCTGAGTACAACGAGCTTCCACCTAATACTTACGAAGCTAAAAAAGTGCTCTGTTCTATTGGGATGAGCTATGAGAAGATACATGCATGTCCAAATGATTGTGTCCTCTTTCAGAAAGAGTATTCAACCTTAGATAAGTGTCCAAAATGTGATGCATCACGGTACAAAAGAAATGGATGTAGCCCAGCGAAGGCATTGTGGTATTTTCCAATCATACCAAGATTTAGACGCCTATATAGCATTGCAGAAGATGCTAAACACTTAACATGGCATGCTAATGAGAGAATTAAGGATGGCAAGCTACGGCACCCTGCAGATTCTCCTCAATGGAAAAAGTTTGATCTTATATACCCTGAGTTTGGGGTTGAAGATAGAAACTTACGCCTTGCACTAGCCACTGACGGAATGAACCCACATGGCATGCAAAGTAGTACTCATAGTACATGGCCGGTTATTTTGATGATCTACAATCTCGCTCCAGCATTGTGCATGAAGCGCAAATTTATGATGCTGTCATTGTTGATTTCTGGGCCTCGACAACCAGGAAATGATATAGATGTGTACTTAGCTCCTCTGATTGAAGATCTGAAGATTTTGTGGGAGACAGGTGTGGAAGTTTATGATGGGTATAGAGAAGAACATTTCATCCTGCGAGCAATGTTGTTTGGCACCATAAATGACTTTCCTGCCTATGGCAATTTATCAGGATACAGTATCAAAGGACAGATGCATGTCCAGTATGTGAGGAGCACACATGTTCAGTGCGGTTGGAACATTGTAGGAAGAATGTCTTTATTGGTCATCGACGATTTTTGCCGCAAACACATCATTACCGACGACTAAAGAAGGCCTTTAATGGCCACCCGGAGAAGGGTAGAGTTCCCATGCCATTAACTGGTGAGCAGCTTTTTGAAAAGGTTAAAGATTTAAATATTGAATTTGGAAAACCATTTGCAAGTAAGATTGTTAAGAATGGTTGGAAAAAGAAGTCCATATTCTTTGAGCTACCATACTGGAAGACCTTAGATGTTAGGCATTTCCTGGATGCAATGCACATCGAAAAGAATGTCTGCGATAGCCTTGTTGGCACATTACTCCACATTTCAGGAAAGAGTAAAGATGGAATTAATGCAAGGATGGATTTGATTAGCATGGGGTTAAGAGAAGAGTTGGCACCAGAGAGGAAGGGAAAACGCACTTTTTTACCTCCAGCAGCTCACACCTTGTCTAGAAAAGAAAAATTAGCTTTCTGTGAATTCTTGCATGAAGTTAAAGTGCCAGAAGGATATTCTTCAAATGTAAGTAGCCTCGTATCCATGAAAGACCTCAAACTAGTAGGTCTCAAGACTCATGATTGTCATGTCATCATGGAAAATTTATTGCCGGTTGGTATACGATCCATTTTGCCGAAGAAGGTGCGAGCCACGATTACTAGATTTTGTTTCTTCTTTAAGGCAATTTGTAGCAAGGTGATTGACCCAGAAAAATTGCCAAAGCTAGAACATGAAATAGCTAAGATTTTAAGCGAGCTGGAAATGTATTTTCCGCCTTCGTTCTTCGACATCATGGTTCATTTATCATTTCACTTAGTTAGAGAGATAAAGTTGTGTGGTCCCGCTTATTTGAGATGGATGTACCCAGTAGAGCGTTACTTGAAAGTATTAAAAGATATGTAAAAAATCGAAGTCGGCCTGAGGGGTGTATTGTTGAGAGGTACATCATGGAAGAAGCAGTTGAATTATGTACTGGATATCTCTCTAATGTGGATGCCATTGGGTTGCCAAAGTACACAAAAGACACCACAGGTGAACAGGGTGGAATCATTGGGAAGAAACTCATTAGCATAGACAAGACACAATGGGAGCAAGTTCACTTGTATGTTTTACACAACACTGAGGAAGTTCAACCATATATCAACGAACACAAGGCAATAGTTAAGAGTCAGAATAAAGGTAAAAATGAAACATGGCTAGCAACATATCACAACCGGCACTTTATATATTGGTTTAGATCTCGCATCTCTGAGGAGTCTCACCCATCAGAAAGGTTGAGGTTTTTGGCTAGGGGTCCTGGATTTGAAGTATTTTCTTATACAGGTTATGTAATTAATGACTTTACATTTTATACAAAAAGTCAAGATGCTCGGAGCACTATGCAGAATAGTGGTGTAACGCTTAAAGCTCAATCAATGCATGTCTCTAGTTTTAAAGACAAGAATCCAATCTATGCAATGATGTCATATTTTGGGATTATAGAGCACATTTGGGAATTGGATTATATCAAGTTTCGTGAACCTGTCTTTTGTTGCACGTGGGTTGACAATAAAAACGGCTTTCGAATTGACGAGTTAGGTTTTATTCAAGTAGATCTTAATAAGGTGGCTCATAAAGATGAACCATTCATTTTGGCATCACAAGCTCGACAAGTGTTTTATGTGTCAGATCCAGCGCATAAAAATTGGTCGATTGTTCTTTTAACAAATAAAATAGTGGGTAATGAGGAGGATGAAGATTTCAATGTTGAGGATGACCCTTTCATGGGAACATCACGGACATTTGATGTTTCAACTGGGGATAATGCCTTCTATATTAGAGAAGATCACGCGGAAGGGATTTGGATTGATGAGGGATATGTAGAACACACAAAAGAAAAAACAAAAAAAAGAAAAAATAAATTTTAACACTTGTAAGTTCTTTATTTAAATTTTCTTTTAATTGTTAAAAATTTATTTTTAGTTAAATTTTTTTTTGTTGTTAAAAATTTACATTTTTCCTTTCAGATATATGGCTACCCCACCTGAGAACAGTGGTGATGCTCCACCCACTGAAGAAGAAGCATTCAAGGAGGTTAAACGGGGTAAAACTGTTATGAAAGCAGTAATACGGGCTCGAGCAGCTGGTTGTAAATTACCAGTAAATTGGAATGATAGGGGCCAATTGGTTAAGTCTCCTCAGTTGGCCAGTTACATAGGGGTCTTAGCTCGTCATTATGTTCCCTGTTGCATTGCAGACTGGAGAAAGAAAAATGACCCACAGCTTGAAGAAGCAAAAAATAATATATGGGAAGATTTGTGTATATCTTTTGACCTGGATGAGAGTCATAGGCATTATATCATGAGAAAAGCAGCATATGCTCATAGAAAGTTTCGAGCTACCCTCACAACATATCATCTAAAAGATGCAAATGAAGAATTCAATCCTCATCCTCCTAAAATGTATCCAGAGATCCAGCAAGAGCATTGGGATGAATTTATTAAAATGCGCCAACAGCCTGAATTTCAACAGATCAGCCAGGTCAATCGCTCTAGAGCCGCAAGTACTCCTTTTCAATATAGAGCAGGAAGAAAGAGCTATCCAGATATTGAACATAGTTTGGTGAGTTTCAATTAATATCGTCTGTTGATATTACTTATATATATATATATATATATAGGAAATGTTTTTTAATTATTCTAATATCTTTTTTAAATAGAGGGAAGAAGTTGGACCTAATGCTCCAATTTCTCGAGCTCTTGTTTGGAAGACTGCTCGAGAAGATAAAGAAGGAAAATTACCTGATGAACGCACTCGAAAAGTCTGGGAGGATTGTGTGAGTATTAATATTTTAGTGTATTACTTTATTTACATTATTTACTTAATAATTAGTTTACAATTTGTTCAACAGGAAGCATTATCACAATCAATATCACAAGATGATGTGGGGGAGCATGTGGATGTCCTTGGTAGGGCATTGGGAGCTCCAGAGGTCTCTGGTCGTGTTAGAGGAGTTGGATTTGGTATTTCTCAGGGCACCTACTTTGGACGTCGGTCTAAAATTTTTACTGAAGATGATTTTAATGCAAGGATGGCAGAAATGGAGGCGAGAATGGAAAAAAAATTTCAAGCTCAAATGGAAAAGAGATTTGAGCAAATGATTGGAGTTATAAATATGCCACAAGGTAGCCCCAGTGATAAAGATAGTTGCTCCTTCCATACTAAAGAAGACTTTCCTAAGGTTATAATTTTTCTTTCTATTATCTTCTCTTTATTCACAAATTATGTTTCACATTTTTTTAAGATATTAATTTTTAATTTTTAGGGCGAGTCTCAATGTCAATTATGGTTAGAATCACCACATTGTCGTGTTGTGGCAATCGGATCTGTGTATAATGATAATAGTGTTACTATACACTCCAGACCATTGCTTGCTGATCACTTAAAGGTGACTATAACTATTCCAATAGAAAATGATGCTGAGTTGCCAGTGCAAATAGAAGATGAGGATATATTCACGATTTTTGATGCCGTTGGAACTTATGTGGCTTGGCCTTCAAAGCTCATTAAGTTACAGGTATAATAATTGATGGTTCTTTAAAATCATTCATGTTTTCTTACGGCCTTACCAATCCATTTTACATCTTGTAGTCCTCAAAATTTAAAGAAGTTGTAAAAAAGCCAATCAAAGCGAAAGAAAAGCCATCGAAAGGATCTACCTCTGTGACTAAGGCAAGGAAGACCAGCACAGAATCTACTCAGTTGAAATATCCTCATCAAAATGCACTTGAAATGATTATGCGGACAACATTGAAAAATGAGATTCGTGAAGTAGAATTTGAAAAGGAGATTTATGGTGAAATAATTAGCGAAAAATTAGCAGCTGAAAATATTAACGAGATTCTGACCAAGGATTGGCTACAAACAACACAAATTAGTTTATACATCAGGTACTTTCTCAATTTTATTACTTATTGTGGTATTTATTTAATTTTAGTTGTGAATGATTCTATTTTTTTTTCATTTTAGGTACTTATATCATACTTTTGTGGTGCCGGGCTCATTGATAACAAAATTTTCATTTATTAGCCCGCACAACACTAGTACCTACAGTGTTGAGTACCATTCTCAAAAGATTACTGATGCATTCAAAGTCAAAGGCAAAAGAAACATGTTATTTTTAGCTCCTCACAATCCAGGGTAAATTGTTATTATTGTTTATTTTTAACTTTAGTTGATATTTTAGTTAATGAACTATTTTATTTTTTCAGGCAACATTGGGTGCTTGTTTGTATCAATCCATTCGTCCCTGTGATTTATTATCTTGATTCATTAAGAGATAGTGACTTTAAGAACTACAAATCTATGAGGATATTATTTAATCAGTAAGTTTTTAGTTCTATATTCTTTATATATGTTTATTATAATAATTAATTTTTACTTGGTATGCTTAATCATTATATAATAGGGCTGTAGCACGTTATCGAGGAGGTGAAGGTCTCCCTCCAAACACCGAAAGACCTGATCCTGTTGAGTTTTATTCTTGGAAAAGAATAAAGGTTTGTATTATTTTCTTAATAAAACAAGTTGGTACATATCTAAATGATTGTTTGATTGATATTTTATGTTTGTTATTCTGAATATGTTGTTCTGGATTGATGTAGAATTTTTGAAAAATTCTGAAACTTCCAAGTTATAGGGGAGACTCTGCCGGATTTTCGACAGCAAATACTTGTATCATATATATAACTTCATCACTGAAGTATTTTAAATTAAGTTAGAATTTATTTCTACCATATAAATGACATCTTTTATTGTTTTATAGGTACCTACCCAATTACAAGGTTGGGAGTGTGGATACTATGTTATGAAGTTTATGAGAGAAGTAATCACACAACAAGAGTTGATCATTCCTGAAAATGTAAGTCAAAAGCTTTGAAATTAAGTTAATATAATATTAATTACTTATATATTGCTTTCATATCTTGTGTAGTATTTTGTTGGAGCAAGATATTCGCATTTTACTATGGAGCATTTTACTATGTTGCTTTCATATATTATTGGCTGTTTGTGATAGGAAGTTAGATTTCAATATTAAAAAAATAACAATAGTTTCATTTGTTAGGCTTGTTAGAAATTAAACTAGGTTAGTTGGAAAATTGAAATTGTTGTATCAGTTTCAAATTTTTTTCTTGTATATAAAATTTTTATGTTGATATTATTTTTAAATTTTTATTCTTGTAAAGAGCGCTCCGGTAAGGTTACATACGGGAGCGCTCCTATAGAGAGCGCTCCGGTATGCATCAGCTCTTACATAAAGCGCTCCCATACATGACGCGCTATTACGGGAGCGCTTTTCTAAAAGCGCTCCTGTATCGCTTACATACAGGAGCGCTTAAAAAAAGCGCTCCTGTAAATTTCGGAGCGCTTGATACGGGAGCGCTTCAAAAGCGCTCCCTAAGGTAAAAAAAAAAAGCGCTCCTGTAAGCTTATTTTGTAGTAGTGTAGGAATTCCACTCACAAGAAATCTTGACAAATATCTTGAAATTCCTCTTATCCATAAAAGGGCTTTTAAACTTACTTTTGCTCCTTTACTTAATAAAACTTACTCTCATCTTGCTAATTGGAAGAGCCACTTTCTCAACATTATAGGGAAAGCTACCTTTATTAATTCTGTCCTCTTGGCCATTCCTAGCTACACCATGCAGACCATGTTGCTTCCTAACGATGTCTTAGCCGACTTAAAAAAAAGATCTAGAAACTTTCTTTGGGATACTTCTGAAGGTCATAAAAAATCCCATCTCCTTTCTTGGCAATGTGTTACCAAGGAGAAAACTAATAGGGGCCTTGGCATTAAAAATCTCAAGTTTCAAAACATTTCTTACATCATGAAAATTTGCTGGGGTCTCTTATCTTAACCAAATTACATATAGGTTATGATCATTCATGACAAATATAAATGTCTTAAACCTACTATTCTTATGGTCTACAAACCTAACTCCTCTTCTTACAATTGGAATAGTATATGAAAAATTTGGAACAAATTCATGACACACGTCGGTTGGAAAGTTGGTAGGGGAGAGAAAATTTCTTTCTAGTACCACAAATGGTCCCCTTTCTTAGAACCTCTTACTAGATATGCTTTCCTTAATACGGAGTCTGTCCTTCATGCTATGGTCTTAGATCTTCGAAATCTCTCAAGAGGATGGAATTTTAACCTCCTAAATTGCCACCTGCATCCTGAAGTGATAAGGCATATTTGTGCTTGTGCAGCCACCTAACCCTTTTGGTGATGAAGATGTTCTTGTTTGAAGACTATCATTTGATAGAAATTTCTCTATTAAATCTGCTTATAAGACCTTAATTACTTACAAGGACTAAGCCAATACTAATATATTGAAGATTTGTAAGTGGCCTACTTATGAAAGATAAAATACTTTCTTTGGAAAGCTGTGTGGGATAGACTCCAAATCAATTCTATAAATTCTGAAAGATGTACCCATCTTTTATGGACTTGTCCTTTTGGATGCAATTCACCTAATTCCTTAATTCATATTCTATGGGACTGTAAAGAAGCATATAATGTCTGGTTCAAACTTGTTAAACCATCTAAACTTAATACTTTCTTTTTTCTTTTTGTGCAACAATGGATCGGTTGGAATGCAAAAATTAAAGCTGGCAACTTCAACATAGGAAGAATTCCTTGGCAGAGGCTTTTCGCTCAAGTCTGCTAGAACATTTGGAAGGCACGATGCAAGAAGATGTATTCTGAAGAAATCAACTAAAACATAAATACCACGTTTTCTAGCACCTAGCAAGTTGTCAATGACACAAGACTCCAATTTAGGGACAATATCCTTAGCCATCCTAGTAAAAGATTTGAGGCTCATTGGAATCCTCTAAAAGAAGGTTGGATCCGTCTTGACATTGATGGATCTATCAGATCTAATGGAGCTGCAACATATGGTGGCATCATAAGGGATGGCAAAGGAAATTGGATTAACAAAGGGATATAAGTCAAAACTTAAAATTATTTGAATAAAATATTTTTAAATATCATATTTAAATAATTTTAGTTGGTATTTCCTTCTCAAAGAAACGCCACCAAAAAATTTTTAAATTCTTATTTTGTTGTGAATTATGTTATTTAACTTTATATATATTTTTAGTTACTCTCTCTGTTAAAAAATGTAAGGTATTTTTTGAAAGGTTAGATGTTAAAAAATGTAAGGCATTTTTAATCTTTTAAGGAGTAGGTATTGCTTTGTTTTTTTTTTTTTTCAAAAGTACCCATATTGAATAAATCACATTATATTTATTTCAGAGTAAAAGATCCTACTAAATAGGAGTAAATATAAAAAATAGAGTTAGTTTGTAGATAAGTTACTAATTTATTGGGAGTGAGATTTGGTTAAAAATATCCTATATTTTTAAATGGAGGGAGTATTATTTTAAGTTAAATATAATCTTTAAAAAATATTTTATTTTAATAATTTTAGGTGACATCTCTTCAAGTACATAATGCTGTCGAGGAGTTTCTAATTTATTATTATTATTATTATTTTAATTAAAGTTATACATTTTATTTGAATAATTTTACTTATTATTATTATTATTATTATACTTATAAATAAAATTATTATTATTATTTAATTATTATTTTTATTGTTGATATAACTATTTTTATTGATTAATAAAAATATGTAACTATATTTAAGTAAGCATTATTACAATTATAAATGTAATAAAATGAAAAAAATATAATGATTATTATCAAAATATTATAATTATATTTATTATTATTATTTTATTTTTAATTAAGATTTATATTTTTTATTATTTGGTTTTTAATTCTTATTTATAGTTATATATTTTTTCTTGTAAATATTTTATATTAAATAGATTATTTAAAATATATTTTATTTAAATAATCATAGATGGTGTTGAGGAGTGCCACCTAATAATTATTAATTTATTATTATTTTTCTGTTAATTATTTTAAATTAAATACAGTCTTTAAAAATATTTTATTCAAATAACTTTAGGTTACTTTTCCTTCTCAAATAAATTTCACCTAAAGATTTTTAATTTGTTATTGTTTGGTTGTTAATTATTTTATTTAAAGTTATATATTTTTTCAGTTATTATTTTAAGTTAAATGTAATATTTAAAAATATTTTTTTAATAACCTCATTTGGTGATTCCTACCTAAGTTTCTAAATTATTATTTTATTTAAAAATATAATTATTTTTATTGATTAATAATATAAATAGTTAACTATATTTAATTAATAATTATTACTATTACAAATATAACAAAATAAAAATATAATAATTATTATTAAAATATTATTTGGTTTTTAATTATTTTATTTAAAGGTATATATTTTTTCTTGTAACTATTTTATGTTAAATAGATTATTAAAAAATATTTTATTTAAATAATCTTAGAGGAGAAAACACCACCTCACAATTTTTAATTTATTATTATTTTTTTAAAATTTAAATCTCTGGGTTTCTCTAAAAAAGAAATATCACTGGAGTGTTTTTAAAAAAATAAAAATAAAAATTACAGGTGACGTTTTGGCAAACCCCAAACGCCATTGCTGATGCTTTTGATTTTTTTTTTCCTAAATATAGTTTTAGGAAGCCTAGCTAGCCGTCCTCAGCCCTGATTTTTTTGAACCCTAATCTCCTCAGCTTCAGCTTCTATGTCCAATCCACGGTGAGGCAGAGAGCGAGGGAGGGAGATGGCTAATGCATATTGGGATTCGAGGGGCCTGGAGATTGTGAATAAGCATAATTCTAGAGGCCTCATATGGAAGAGAATGAAGCTCACCTCTACTCGTAAAGCCAATGCTAAGAAGCTTCTTCATCGAGTTTGGCAGGCTTGTCGGCTAAGATCAACATATCTTTGAGACTCTAAAGAGAAGAGAGTATATGAGAAACCAATTTGTTTGAGCTAAAATCTAACTTCTGTAGGGAAGTATTCCCAAGGCATTCTGGAAGCACTCCTGAAAACATGTTGGAAAGATACAACATACTTAAGCTTTTGAGTTGGCAAAGTTAATCTATAATGGACCCTTGCAATCTGTTGTAATTGAGACTTAAAAACTCGACGCTATGTAATTTGCTAAATGTTTTAGGAATCAACCCATTCAAATCATTCTAACCCATAGATTATGCCATCAATTTTGTTAAATTTCAAAGTACAATGGTACGGTCCCACTAAATTTATTGGATGACAAATATAATGAGATTAGATTAGAAGCATTTGATATGCTTTTTGGAATTTGTCCAGTTAGTTCATTCATCTCCAACAATAAAAACTTCAAATTGGGAAGGCCAACTCCTAAATATGGTGGGAGAGGGCTAGAGACGGAATTCTGATCAAGACATAAGTGTGTCAATGTTGAAATGTTAAAAATATTGAAAGGAATATGGACTTTGAAATTATTAATGGACAAGTTCAATATATTAAATTTACCAAGATTGCCCATTTCCTTGGGTATAAAACCTGGAAATGCAAAAAGGATAGGTATAATAACATATTTACAACTTAATGGATTTATAAAAAGAAAATATCACAGGCAACTTTGTTTTGCATAACATAAAAAGACTATACACGTATCTTCCTAATCCAAAAACTTAATATTTGTTATGCCAATTAATAATGCATAAATATTAGTTTTTAAAATTGAAAAGAACTAGGGAAATCATAAACTACCCTTGAGATGCCATGGTTATAGAAGGTTTATTTTAAAATTAAAGTTTTTATGTTGTAATTGTTGAATAATTATTTAATAGGAAATTAATAAATTTGTTAAATAACAAATTACAGGTATCTTACTAATCCAAAAACTTAAATGTTTGTGTTATTCACATAATATTGATATATAATATGAATTTGATATGCAATAACATTTTGGAAAAAAAAAAAAACTTATACTTAACTTTATATACTTGAAGTGGTTATTTTCAATTAAATTCAGACACGTGAATCTTTTATATATTTATTCATATCAAATTCTTGTTATAAATATTATTAATACATTAAAATTTAATTGTTTTGATTTAATTGAATAATAAAAGTACATTAAGCATATAAGACTAACTATCTAAGTATTTTCCTAACATTTTTATAAGCAAGCGGACTTTAACAGCAAAATAAAACATGTAATATTGTTTGCTGATAATATACATATATACTAAAAAAAAAAAAACAAACACGTCGTACCAATTCCAAAATTTGAATATTTACCAATTAATCATGCGGCATAAAGCATTAAACAACTTTTTTGGCTAGTTTTTTTTTCTTTTTTGGTAAAGTTGAAGTGAGAAATTATTAAGTATAATCAGCTCCAAAAAAAAAAAATTCCACATCATAGTAACGATACGAGTTGAAATGTTTTATTTTTTATTTTGTTCTTTTGCATACTTTCTCCCTCCTGTTGATTTTGCATACTTCTTTTAATTTTAAATTAAATAATTTTAAAAACTATTACATTAAAAAGTTAAATTTGAATAGTTTATTTAATTTCACAGAAAATTGAACATGTTGAATAATTTCTCTTTAAAACCAAATGAATTAAAATGAGGCAATCTAATTATTTGTCTGACTATTGACAACATCTGGGATTCTCGTTCATCTTAAGATTCGGTTGAACTAGTGTTTGGAGTTGCATTTATATTTTTAGGTAAATGAGCAAATTGATGGGACCCTAAACTCATTTTTCATGCAACTTTTTGGGTCATTATTTGTAATTTTGGATTCTTTATTGTTATTTTTGAATCATTTTTTATGATTTTTGAGGGGCTAAAATAAAATCTTATATGAAGTTAAAAGGCTAAAAGTGCACTTTAGCTTATATATATATATATATTAATTTGTAATTAATTTTTATACATGTTTAATTAATTTTTTTGTTTATTGTAAATTTTCAATTCCTATTGTAATTTTAAAAATATCAAATATAATTTTAATTTTAATCAAATAATATACAGATGTTACAATTAATAATAAATAAGAAAAAAACACAACTCCAAGTTTGTCTGTATTTTAATGTTGCTTAAGAAATATTTAAATTACTCTATCTTACAAAAATTGTCAAATATTATTAAATCTAGTATGTTAAAGAATAAGTCTAAAACTGACGTTAAATTTAACAAAAATTGCCAAGTAATGCTCATGTCAACTCCAGAAGTTTAAATGAATTTTCAAGATAGAAAATTGAAAAAAAAAAGTTAAACTGTTAAAGAATGTGTTCAATAAGGGCAAGAAAAAAATAAGATTAAAGTTATTAGGTGATACA